TCTGGCAGTTTAGCATAAACTGCTGTCAGCAGCCTGGCCCTGCAGTAATTTTCATTGCATCAGGCAGCAAGTGCTCTGGTTTCATTATCTATGCTTCACTGCACATGCTGGTGACTCTGACAGAGCCTCTGACTTGTTTGACTTCTTTCAACAAAATGTCTGTTATGCTTTGCAAGACTTATGTTAGCTGACATCTTTCAAACCTCTGTTTTGTACTTCCATATACAATTTTCTGATATCAGGCAGCTCAAAAAACGTAGAACACTTTTCTCTTAAGATCTCCAATTTCCGTGTAAGAAAATATTTCACTGCTGTGAAATCTAAAGTGGACTTACAATGTATACTATCCATCCTAGTCCTTCATGTAGCAGGGTTTCCAGAAATACAAAAGCAGTTTCTCTGAGGCAAACTACAGTATGTATCTCTATTTGTAAAAACATGAATCCAGGGAAAAGAAGTGAAGAATACGAATCCTCATAAGCACTGAGTTCCTACTGCTGTGTCTAACACAACTACAGGTGTCTATGACAGATTCAAGAACCAAAGTTTCCCAACTCCCAACCCCCAGTGCTACGTCCACAAAGGAAATTTTTCCTCTTACCTTTCCTATAAAACATATCTTAACAAGAAACAAGTTCTAAATATACTTCCGGCAAGTATCAAAATCTGAAACAGATGAGAAAGTTCAACTATTCAGTAACACTGAGGAAGCATAAAGAATGCCTAATGTTTTCCTAAGAAATTCTCTTTACACTCATTCCCCTCTGGCTGAATTTGGTTCAGAAAAGCAGCACAAAGGTACCTAGGAAGAGACCTTCATCAGTCCCAGCAGGATTCATACATGTTTATACTCTCTCTTCTTTGATGCTGACCCTGTCTATAAGGTTTGTAAAACTGAGTAGGCATTACATCAGTATATAAAAAAAAACACAAAAAACCCCAGCACATGTCCTCACCACCATTACCCGAAAAGCAGATTCGTGCCTGGTGCGTAATAAGCCAATCTTAACATGCTCAGGAGAGATACTGTATTTTATTCAGGCCTAGGTGTTTGGTGTATTTGCCACAAATCAAGCACACCTAACGGCAGGTTCAGGTGTTTCTTTTATACACAAAAATCACAGGTTAGTACTTTTCTAAACACACCTGTCAATTATAATACAGATTACATAAGGCTTTTATCACTATGCAGGCTCAGGGGAAGGGTCTTTAACCTGGGCAGGGGTTGTTTTGAGTTTTTTAGTATTATAATGACCATATGTTGCTTCATGACACTTTAAAAGTTAGTTTAATCACCAAGTTACCTAATTGAATAGTCACTTTACCAGACTGTCAAATAATTCACCCTCAACACAATCCTAGATATACTTATTTTGATCCAAGATGTTCTACCTACTTTCTGAAGTCTGTTACTTATCGCTAATCAAGGTCATCTCGACCACTATTCAAAGTTTCGCTCAACCAATTTTTGGTGCCTCACAATTGTCCCCATATGTGCAGTAACTATGACTACCATCAATTTGATGTATGCTAACTATTGTCTACAACCACTTGCAAGTGTAGAAAGTGTACTTCTGTCAATTATTAACTATGGCCACTTGCAAGTAGAAAGTATACTTGTCATGGTTTAGGCCTGGTTGGCAGCCAACCACAATGCAGCAGCTCTCTCTCCCTTCCCCTCTGGCAATGAGAAGGGACAGAGAGCCAGGCTTGGGGTTTGAGATAGGACTGGGATGGGAAGAAAATTCCCTTTTATGATCACAAGCAAAAGGCAGACTCGTTAGGGGAAGAAAAAAAGAACATACATTTATTACAGACACTAACAACACATAACAGAGTAGGACAGTGAGAAACATTGCCACATCTTGAGAACACCTTCCCCCCACCCCTCCCTTCTTCCCGGGCTCAGTTCTGCTCCCGATATCTCTACCTCCTCCCCCAGTGGCGCAGGGGCAGGGAATGGGGGATGCAGTCAGCGCTGCCACTTCCCTTATCTTCGGTGAGGGGAGTGTCCGAAACTTGTTCCTCCTGATCCATCGTGGTCCCCCTCTCACAGGAGACAGTCCTCCACAAACTTTCTCTGACTTGAATTCCTCCCATGGGCCGCAGCGTTCCCCACACTGCTCCGTCATGGGTCACTAACTTCCTCCGACTGGATTCCCTCCCATGTCTGCAGCCCTTCCCGAGCTGCTCCGGTGTGGGACACCCCCGCATGCTGCAATCCTCCCAGCGCTGAATTACAGCAGCGGGGCTACTTTTTCCCATGAGACCCCGGCCTTCTTCGGGCACAGCACCTTGATCAAGCAAGCAGGAGCAACAGGCCATAAATCAATGTCTGTTCCACCGTAGATCTTCATGGGTGGCAGCGGGGGGCCACCCTGCTGTCTCACCACAGGATACACGGGGGTCTCTGCTCCGGCACACCTCCCCCCTCCTTTCTTCCTCCATTCCTCCACTGACCTTGGCGTTCATGCAGCTGCAGCAACTCCTCCTCACAAGTCCAACTGCACGTCACCACGTCCCTTCTTAAATACGTTATCGCAGAGGCGCAGCTGATTGGCTCAATTTCCCAAACAGAAGTGGAGCTGACTTGGAGCTGGGGGAGCTTCGAGAAGCTTCTCACAGGGGGCCGCCCCGATAGCCCCCTCCCCTGCCACCAAAAAACTCCACCACTCACTCAACCCAGGACAATAGTGCATCACCACCAGTTTTCCCGAAAAGTGTCCATAAAATGGCCACAATGTCCACAAAATATCCATTGAATTAATTTAATCCATGATTGGGATCTATCTGTTATAGATCAGGACAGGAGAGGTGGTGTGTGTGCTGGGTTTGTGTGTGTGGCAGGGGTTTTTGGTAGTGAGGGGAGGGGGCTTCAGTGGTGGTTCTTGTGTACCTCCAGCCTGCTCACTGGTGGTGTGGGGTAAGAAGCAGAAAAGGTCTTGACTCTGCGCAAGCACTTCTCATCAATAACTAAAACATCCCTCTTTTATCAACAAAATTTTCAGCACAGGTCTAGAACATAGCCCCTTACTAGCTACTATGAAGAAAATTAACTGTATCCTAGCCAAAACCAGAACACCATGTAAACCTGTTCCTTTTATCAGGTTGCATGGCAAGATTTTGGTAGCGAGGGGACTGCAGGCATGGCTTCTGTGAGAAGACACCAGGATCTGCCCCCATGTTGGACAGAGACACTTTTAGCCAGCTCCAAGACAGACCCACTGCTGGCCAAAGCTGAGCCCATCAGTGACAGTGGTACTACAAAATGTGAAAGTTTTGGACACCTGGACTAATGAACTAAAAAAGCCAGCACATTTCAGGGCAACTGGAGAAACCTTCTGGGACACGAGACCATGAGAAGAAAGTGGGCATATAATGATTTCATCATTTATGTTATTTAGACACAAAGGCTTTGTCATTTCCTTAGAGGTACTCCAAAATCCAGAAAATTACAATGCCATTCAGAGAGGGAAATTTCATTTGAAGTCTTCCAGTGTTGCTGCTGATTTCCAAAAAAGGCACAGAAATGGAACATTGTGCCCTGCCTGTTTTTATCCTTCATTTATTTAAAGCATTCTAAAGTTTAGACACAACATTCTAATAGTAAAAAAAAAAAAAAAAAAAAAAGCTTATGAAAGAAATCACAGTGACAGGTTGTGTTAAATTATTGACTTTTATGCAAACTGCCTTCATGCTTTTTAAGAACTGAGAGATAATGGAGTAAGGCAGCCTACAAGAGCTGGATGTTGCTGGCATGCCACCAGGGGACCAAAGATAAATAAATAAATCAGAGACTGTAATTAGGTGGTTTACACACAAAATATCCCTCTGAGCAAAGTTTAGCACCTGCTGCTGTAGTTGATATAATTTTCCTATTTTTGTTCACCTTCAAGGTTTGATGAGCATGCAGTAGGATCAAATAAATCACCATCTCACCTTCACATGAATCTATCAGAAAGATCTTTTTAAAGCCTTAATTTGGTGAAGGCAGGTTGCAAACTATGGCAGTTACCAGGTGTCAGCCTCACTATGCCATCCCCCATTCTTCTTCTACACAGTAAAAAGAGCCAGTCCCATGACATAAGGGAGTCCTATAGAGTCTTTCACATTAACATACACAGAGTTTGTACTTAACTAGCACTTTGTTATTCAGCCATATGATTTCTAGAGTTATGCCCCATTTAGGCATTCCACAGAAGCTTAAAAGTAGCCCATTCTTCAACTCCACAAATATTTGGCCCTCGCTGACATTCAGTCATGCAGTGACAGTGTTCTAGACTACCATGTGATTTTGGGCAACTAATGGCAGGACTCACATCATCTACATAACTCAGTTGGGATATTTAATTTTTTTTTTTTTTAAAGCCCCCACTGAACTATTCCATTACAACACAGGGTTATAGGAAAAGACTTGTGGGATCTACTGGTCCTGTGATCTCTGTATCTCACACAGAGGGCTGTAGTTATTACAGCTGAAACACTGCACTTCTCTCCACAATATTCCAGGGTAGTGTAAGTGTCATGTAGCCCTGACAATTACTCCATGCACTGAGGTAGTAACAGACTTGTACAAGTTGCCTGTTTTACCATGTCCCCGTTTCCTTTCCAATCAGTGGGTGTGAAAATCCCATAAAATGAAAACTATATAATGTCTACCTTGCTAGTAGTCACTACCTTGCTGATGTCTACCTTGCACTAGTGGTAAAACATATCCTGGAGAACTGAGATTTACAATACACAGTGAACAAATAGTTCCTGTATATAGTAAATCTACTGAGTCATTGTCACACTGGCTCTCACACTTTTGGAACAGGCACGTGTAGATCAGCAGGCAGTCTTATGATAACAACTAGGCAGAATCATGATGCAACTCTTCTGGTAATAAGTATTTTTGAAGCAAAACTACATTAAGCAATAGACATTAAAAAGAAAACGTGACAATGTGGGTGTCTGCAGATATGGTTACACTAAAGCGGACCATTGCAAATTCTCAATTACTAGCAGCCATCTATGGCTTAACTGTATAAGCTCTCAGGATGCTCTCATACTTACTCTGTCCCTTCTTCACAGAGAAGCTTTGCAGGTAAATGGCTTTTTGGGTTGACAGCTACTATGAAATCAAAAGCTTTGCAAGAAGGTGTGATATATCATCTTTGGCATTTTAAAGGCAAATACCACCCCAGTGAAAACCATCAGAAACTTCTGAAAAAACAGAAGAAACTGAGCTTTTCCAAGCCATTTAATTTACTTAGTCACGGTAACTTCTTTGCACATTTCAGCTACATTGACTGAGACCAAGAAACTAAGAAGCCAGAAGATAACCAAGACTCTTTAGAAGAGGGAAGGAGCTTTGCTAAACCATTTACAAACTGAAGACAGGTAAGAAAAATGCTGTTATCCAGTGCTTTTCTTTTCTTTAATCTTTCTGGTGTTTCTACTCTAAGGCAAATCAAGCCTAAAACTTAGACTTGTATGTGCATTCAAGCTACATTTGAATATCACAAGGTACTGTTAAAAGACCTAAATCTCTGCTAGAAGTGGTCTACTTTCTAAGATTTTGATAGCACCTTAACTAACTGGAGAATGGGGTCCACTCAGGTTTCAATCTGAATGTATCAGAAGATCTGGTTAAAGGAGATATATATATATATATATATATGTATACACACACACACATTCTTATTATATATATATATATTTATACACGCATACATATAAAAATCTAAAGTCTTATTAATATTAAAAGAAGCAAGCTATACAACCATAACAAAATGTAATGAATATTCAGTCTAGTTTTAATTTGGAACAAGTTCTCACCTCTTCCACTTCACTCCATAAGAGACTTAATCCTAAAATTATTTTGATCAGTTATGTAACTAGTTATGGTTAAAGTATTGACTTCCTCCAAGTTTCTGTTACAGCTGCCTTTGTTCAAAAAGAACTTAAAATCTTTCATTAAAATGTTCTGAGAAATAAGAAAAATGTAAGTATTGAATCAGTTAAAACTTAAGAGACCACAGCTTGTCATCATAGTTTAAAAAAAAATATTTAAATGTCATTCAGTTAAAACCAGGAAGAAAGCACTGCTTTGAGCACAGGAGAGGTCTAGATGACCTCCAGAAGGTTTCTCTTTCATCCTAAACATCATGACTGAGAAAGAACACAGAAACTGCATTTCAAGTAAGTTTGCTGGCAAACCTGCCGTGTATTCATTCTTGACCAGTCCTACCCTTGAGTTTTATATTCATAGCTAGGCAAAATAGTCTTTTCTGTAATACTAAAGTTTAACAGCAATAAGAAATGAAGAAAATCTGATTTTTTTTCATTTTTTTTTCAAATATTTTAATTTTTTCAAATTTTTTCTCATTTACCCAGTATGCTTCACTTGCATCTCCACTGCATATGCAAGAAAGAAGAATGCCTTATCACTGTTAACTCCTGCTGGTCAAAGCAGATCACATTTTAGACCAGCTGAATATGCCATGTTTTTTATAGACTCATATTTAACCCCAAATGAGGAATTTCAGTGTTATATGTAAAGACACATGCAAAGAAGATAAGCCACAATTTCAGATACAGAGGAATGGCATCAGGCCATTCAGTACAGGAGTGCTTTAAGGCTTCTGGAGAAAGTGAATTTAAAATTTCTGTGGAAATGAAGTACAAACTCTGCAAAATTAACTCATTAATCCAGTGTGGTCCACAGTAGCTGCTCTGGGGAGGCAAAGCCATCCTACAGAACATGACCGCATGTCTGATGGTCTTTAGGTCACTCAGCAGCTAAACTGCCCAGGCTTGGTGGAGGAGTAAACTCACACACTACACAAGGCTCACATCCAAACACCAGCTCAGTGATTTCCTATCAGTCATTCATACCACATCTTCTGAGAAGCTTCCAGAGTTGTTCCTCCCCATTTATTTCCAAAAACACAGGCCTAAATTTAGCTGAGCTCCAGAGCTCTTCTTTCTGGGTCTCTGACTGTGTAGCTACCTGCAGCCATCTTGTCCAATATATGAGATATATGAGAAAAGAAGGATTTGAGTATGTTATAATCCATAACTAAACTTTTTTTTACAGCTTGTGGAGCCCCCAGTGATGTGTTCAGGAACCCTGCAGAAAAGCATTAAGTAGACAAGTCAGCTGTACAGCAGGTGAAACAGAAGACTTTTGTACTGTGTAATTCTCATCCAAAGGCCTGTGTTCACACTTCCTGTAAGATACATACATGAATACACACATATGCAAACTGATTATACAAAGGAAATGCAAAATTGGTGCTCTACCACAGATGCTTTTTCCTTTGTACTGCCACTGGCTGGGCTTTCTCCTTAAAATATACCATATTGCCTGGGGCTACAAAAAGAGTCATTAAACAAAGATTGTTGCTGGCTTAAAAATGTGTGCCCACAGGATTGTGGTCAGGTAGGAGAAAACTGCTGAGATGCTTCTCTTTTTCAGCTTACTCCACCCTGGCCCTAAACATATTTTGTTTTAAAGTACATGATTAGTTTCTAACAGTTCTGCAAGTCTGAAACAATAAGGAAAGGCCTGCTCTTCTGTTCAAGGGAGACAAAGAAGTTCAGTGTTAGCAAAAACACAGGACTCTTCTCTCTCTCAAAAAAAATATCTTCTGAGCCTCAATCAAAACTTGCAGTTTTGTTTCTTTTAATTGTTCTGGACTAAAATGTATAAAGATTTTAATTAAGTTATAAACTTTTGTTAGAACTAAGATAATATTGTTGCCTTATATTAGGTTCCTTAAAATTAGAGGTGGGGTGGTGACATTTACATGTTTCTTCTCACATATTAACACTTTCTTCACTGTGAAGCCTCAGTAAAGTCTCAGAGAAACCCAGCAGTTCAATCCGTGCAAAGCATCTAAGCCCTGATCCTCAGATCTCAAGCTAAAAGATAAAGGGCCATGATGCATGAATTATTCCTCAGACCAGATTTGTCCCAGTTCTCAGATGAGGTCACTGTGTGTAATAGCTCAACCCAGTAGTTAGTGTAAATTGTTATAGCTCTGTTGATATAACCACTCTAAAATACCACTATCATTGCTGGAGTCTACAGGATTTCTAATCTTGTAGAAGACTGCCTTATAACTGTTGTCTGCTTCACTGACTCACAACAATAATTTGACCAAGCATGTGAGTGCAATTTTGACATCCACTCCTTAAAATATTTTTCACAAGCCTGATACTTTATTCATTGTCTAATGCAGGTCTTCTGATGAAACAAATAATTAATTGAAAGTCTCTTAGACTTTTGAATCAGGTCCTCAACACCATTCCACTGAAGTCAATGGAGATGTGCAGAAGAACATCAGCAGAGGATTTCCTATCTGTGACTTGGTTTTCACATAAACACCCAGCTCTGTGATTAGCAACATATACTGCACAAGGCTTTTTGTCCATTTGATTATTTGTAACAATTAAATGGGTGCAAGGGTTGAATCCAGTTCTCTCTTAAAAAAAGTGTAACTGAACTATAATTGTAATGGAACTAGAGTACTTTTATGTTGATTTTGAGAGTGGAATGTAGATCCATTCTGCCATGACCTTTGACTTGGTTAAAATCAATTACATGGTGTGAGTTAGATTGATTTACAGAAAAAGAAAAAAAAAAAAAAAACAACACAAAAGAAAACATGAAGAGGGTAAAGAAAAATTACTTCTGTTCCTCAAAAATGTTAGTTTTTGAGAGAGCAGCCTAGACATTTGGAAAGTGTTCATTGGCTGTTCCTGTCATGTTGCTGCCAACTATGTACAAATATATCCTGACACAGAGAGATTGTGATGAGGCACATGCAAACATCTCTTACGAATATGGTTGCCCAAGGGAGTTAGGCTGCCTATACATTTTTGGAAGTAGGACTTTGTGCTGCTGATCATTTGTGAAATGTCATGCCTTAAAAGAAATAAAAAGAAAAACAAAGGTTGTCATTATGGTCTACTTTCTGTCTCATCTGTTTATCTGTAAGACAAAACAAGGAACATTTAACCCTGAGAAGTTGTCTAGTTTCATTTAAAGAAATTAGACAGTCAGCACTGCTTTTGCTAAGTAGGTCAGAAAATTCCCCAGGACATCCAACATGCATTTTTTGTAAACATGAGTTGGTAGGCAAATGAACTAAAAAAATGGACACAGCAGATTTAGAATTTACATCATGATCTTTTCTTGGGATTAAAAGGAAACAAGAGAAGCTATAAGAGTCTTACTACTATCTTAGTTAAATATTCCTCTTCTGTGCTGTGAAAGGGCTTCTCAGAAATCTTGGGCTTTGTAAGTTTAGGTATAATATGAATGTATATTTCTTAAAGCTGCACCTTTAAGATGTAATGTGTGTTACACTTCACCCCCATTGACACAGGCTTTGGATATTAACAGTCCATACGAAGGGAGTTTGAGCTTAGCTATCACACCCAAAGCATGAAGAGGTTGTGTTTTTCTAGATGCTCCTGGGTTGGTAGTGTCTGTTCAGGAGATAGGACATAAATCCATACGCCATTAAAGCCTTCATACCCCAAGTCAGAATTCATCAGTCAAAGCTCTCAGTCTCTCACACATTGTAGGGATACTCCTGGCTAATATATGCAGGGTTTCTGATACTTTTCCCAACAGCTGGGGTTTGTGTGGCTAAGATGATTTCTTTCTTACTCCAGAAGAGAGTAATGGAAAAGGATTAACAAAACCAATGAGTGAGGTGAATTTCAAACCATGACACTCCCCTCAAAACGCTTCTTCTGATTTGTACGGGCTTTGGTGTGATTCAGTATGAGTCCAGCTCTCTTTAGACTCAAGGGCTTCTTTGAGGTTGTAGATTTCACCAGGGAGCAGGACTTCTGTGGGGAAGGATTTTCAGAGCTAAGCCTAAGTCTTGCTTGTTGAGTTGACTCTATAGCATCAAACTAGCTCCCACTGAACTGGATTATGAACCCAGTACAATTCAATTCACTTTTTATTATGCTCATTCCTTGGTAATTTACTAAGTAATTTACTCAATAATTAATCTATTTGACTGTCAGTATTTTGGTTTTGATGTCTGGATTTTTTTATGTGCCTTGCACATTGTTCCTACTGTACAGTACCAATGGGAGACCTTCTTGTAGGTTTATTGTATTAGTTAAAGACTAGTTAGATTAGTTAAAGGTTTCTGAAATGTGAATTTATGAGTAATAAAAGTTGTTTGGATTATATTTTGGAGTGTGATAAATTCACTCCATACATTCAACAGGCATCTTCTCTGAAGGTCTTCCAAGTTACACAAAGTAAGGTAACAGTTCAGAAAAAAAAAAATCCATTTTAGGAGATCTGGAGGAAAAACCCTTTTGTTTCTCCATCATTCAGACAGTTTCATATGTGCTAAAGTTCTGAAGGAATAAACAGCTGAAATGATTCACAAGGAACACATTTCAAGAAAGGGTCTCTCTTCTCATTCAGAATAACGCATATCGATTGGACTTTATGTTAAACTTCTTTAGCACTGTTGAACTCTACCTGTTGGCCTTGAGCAGATGCTTACAAACAAATACATGTTTAATTTACTGTTCTGAACTGCAATGGACTTCAGTATAAGAGGATGCCAGACTTCAGATCCCAACTACAGCACTTACAAAAGGAATCCCACAATATCAGGAAGACATTAATTAGGTGTAGACAACATGAGAACTCTGTTTCATCTTACAGATTCAGTTAAAAATAAAAATAGGAAGGAAAATCAGCTGATAAAATTATCTCTGGTATCTTGTCATTAAGGCATAGGTAACATTATTGACAGGCACAATGGTTGGTACAGATATCTGAAGAAGACTGGAGCAGAGGTGGGATAATAGATGGGCTGCTTGAAAAAGTTTTAAATATCCATCAGGTTGGATCTGCAGCAAGCTGTGACCTTTTATAGTGGAATACTAACCTGGTTATGGGTATGATGGAACACTGTCCATGACTGTGAGATGAGGGGAGACACGTGAGTCTGTAGTGATTGCAAGAGTTGCCACTCAGCTTGGGGTAGAGTGAAATCTGCAGTTATGCCAGGAGATTTGGGTGTTAGGCTTGCAGACCCTTTCTTACATGCAAACTCATTTGATAAGCAGATCTGTGACCTGCCAGCTGACTACATTTCACATGAGGTGGCACAGAGCAGGAGTCATGTTATGCTGCTGATCAGCAGCTGAGAAGTGCACATTTCCAAGCTGCACTCCATGTTCACAGGAGCCGCTCCAGAAAAGGCGACTGCAGGAGCATCATTCCATGGCCCACCCCCAAACCACATTGCCCTGACAGTGTGCTTGACTGTGCCCCTGCAACTAGGTTAACCATATATTATGTCTCAGTGCCTGTACTGCATGGATAAAAGATGTCATTGTATTGTTAAAGGAAACCAGTCTTTAAAGGGAATATGAAGAGTTTATTAGCTTGGCCTCTTTGAAAGATGTTTTTGAAAGCAGGTTCAGGTTAATGCCTATGCAAAAGAATAACTGAAGGCTCCTGACTTCCCCTTCTTTTCTTGTAAAAAACTGAGACTACATGTGGAAGTCTCAAAACCTCGGCTTCTGAAAACTCAATTTTTTCTCTTGGCTCAGCTCTATTAGTCAAATACAAATGCCAAAAATAGCACACAAAAAAAAAAGCTACCTCAGGCCCAAAGCAGACTGCAGAAGGCTTTCTTCTCTGCTGCTCCAAAGACTGCTAGAAACCCACTTGCTCACTGTAATTCTGCATTTTAACTGTGCCGCTTTCTGTATTCATTTGCTCAGTCTCAGCTGAAGTTGGCCCAAAGAAGAGAACCAGGCCCATGATATGTGCTGTTTAGGTTCCACTTTGAATTACTGGTAATCCTAGGTGCTTGGACCTTTGGAAAGTCTTCTGGCACTCAGCTACGCAAAATTTCTCCTTGTTTATTTACTTCCCTGTATGCAAACAGCTGCTGAGCCCTTCTGAAATTGTGACTAATTACTTCAGAGTTTAAATACATGCAAAGTTCTTTGGAACATCTGTACCAACAATTTAATCTCACTAAGGTTCATATAGCAATCATTTGTACCTGACCACATAGTACTTTCATTCCAGTACAGAAAGAGCTAAGATAACACATTTCTAGGTTAATGGTAGGGTTTAGTTAACATCTCTATAATAAATTAGATTCCAGT